AAAGTATTTTACTTGTTTGTCCTTTATGGCAACCTTTACACACTTTGCTTCATAAAGAAGAGGGCCATGAAAGCACAGTACTCTTTCGCCCTCCTGGAACTTGGGCTTCGGGTCCTGCTTGGGCGCCATTTATAAGTGATTCGCCGCCTCCTTCTCCCACCACCCCCGACTACCGCCCCCTACTCTCTACCCCACCCGAGCTCGCGTCAGCCGCGCTGTCAGGCACAGCCGCTCTACATCCTGGGCCCCAAAGATTTTGTTTTGATGTTACTTATCAACATAAATAATAAGACACTTTTTGTACAATAGTGATAACAAAAAATAAGATCAGGTATAGAAATAAGATCAGGTGAAACTAAAAACTGTGAGATGTTTATTGTTTGCTTTTATATAATTAATTGAGAAGTCAATTATTTATTATTTCTTTCTCCCCCATTGGGCTGAAGCTAAGTGGAAGTAAGGACTCTTATCTAGTATGTTGTCCTCTGCCCTTCTAGTACTTAAGTGTAGTGACTGACAGAGGGTGAGTAAGGATTTATTGATACAAAATAGTGGATTATTTTTGAAATTTTCTACTTTCTGACTGGGAAGTAGCATATACTTTTATAAGCAGGACCGTATTAGGACATCTGTACATTGCTGCTTGTAATATTTTAACATTTTTTACAGGTCTCTTCATTAGTCTTAATTATCATTTAAAATGACCATGATGTTCCATCTTATGACTATGCCTTTTAAAAAATAGTTTTCAAAACTATATAGCATATACTCTCTACCTAGTTTTTGTGCTATTTAAATTATCTTGAATTAAATTACCTCTTAAAATTGTTTAGCTCATTACTTGTTTCACCTTGGTTGAGATTTCTGACATGGGAACCTGAGGATTTAAAAAACTATAATACCAGAAATCAAACTCATGACCTTGTGCTTGCCAGGGAGGCCCTGTGCCACTGAGCTATATCCCTGGCCCAGTATGAACATTTTTAGAGATCTCAATCTATATTGTCAAATTCCTCTGTAGAACTGTCATATGGTTTTTTACCCCACCCCCAGCTTTCTTTTGAACCCAGAACCTTACATGTTCTAGACATACACTGTATCACTGAGCTACATCTTAGTTCTTTTCTTCTTTCCTTTTAATTTTTTGTTTTGTTTTGCTTTTTAGTCAGTCTTGTTAAGTTGCTCAGGGTGGTGTTGAATTTGTAATCCTTCAGCCTCTCAAGCAGCTGACATTAAATTTGTACTATCATGACAATTTTTAATGCTACTTTAGAATGTTTGCTAATTGGGTAGAGAAGACTGTATTATTACTATAATGACTGTGCCTGTAATTACTAGAAAAGTCATTTTTCAAATATTTATTTAATTATTCTCATTTCCTTTCATTCATTTTGTGTAGCCTATCCTAGAATCTCACTATCTTTTGATAAGCTTTTTATCTTGTAAGACTAATAGATTTTTCAGAATAGGGCATGGTGGCACACGCCTGTAATCCCAGCACTCAGGAGGTTGAAACAGGAAAATTCCTTCGAGTTCAAGACTGCCCTGGGGGCTACAAAAGTAAGCACAAGGCTGGCCTGAACTGTATAGCAAGACCCTGTTTCAAGAAAACCCAAAAACAACAACAGTAGCAAAAAGATTAATAGATTTATATATGTATATAATCTCGTGAATATCTCAGCTGTTTTAAATTTTGTCAGTTTTGAAATCCGAAAGATTCAGTCATCATACTCTGGTTTCTCTTCAGATCATATACATCTTTTGCCTTTTACTAAGGTTTTAGTCATATTTTTTTTTTTCCTTAGGGTTAGGAAATTTTGTCTTCAGAATCAAATATTACTTCATCCTCTATTAAAAGTTTAGTGAGAAATATGGCAGTTGTGATAATTTTATACTTAAATGTTTAACCTGCTTGGAATTTATAGTCAGTATCTGATACAATATTTCTATTACTATTGTTCAGAAATTCTGCTTCATTCTTAAAGTAAGCCATTTATTTTTATGAAGTTTAGAGTTAGCATACTTACTTTTGGCGGAACCGGGGATTGAACTCAGACCCTTGTACTTGCCAGAGAAGCACTTATTCTACTGAGCCATCTCTCTGGCCCTGAGTTAGCACTCTCTTATGCCTAACAAAAATTACACAATACAACAATCTATTTAATTGTAATGTAACCTAGGTTTCTATGCTGCTTTACAGATTGAATGTAGAAATAGACGTGTCTGGAAAGAGACCAAAAATCAATTCTTCATTCCAAGGACCTAATAAACTCCGAGATGCATCATCTTCAAAGAATAGACAAATTATTTTGCCAAGTACTTCAGATGGAACTAAAAAATCAAAGAACTCTAAAGAGATTAAATTTATGAATGTTACAAGTAAACTTGACCATGGAATTAAATACTTTCCCAATCCTAAAATTTCGAAACATATGAAATCTAAAAAGGAAGACCAGACAAAGGACAAGGAATTGTCTCATATTCTTGCTCAGACAGAGAAGATGAAAGAGCTCAAGAAAGGAAGAAACAAAATTAGGGACAGTTCTGAAAAATGTAAACATAAAAATCAATTTTCTCAAGATGGTAATTCCAGCAAGATTATTCATGAACCCTTTGACTCTAAAACAAAGAAGATCAGCTTCACAATCCCAGTAAAATCTTCTAATACTCTCCAGAAGCTCATAGAAGAAAATGTGTTCAATTTAGTTTCTAATAAGGTAAAGACTAAGCAGGAATCACGAGAATTTCCAGAAGGCTCCCAGGTTCCATTGAATTTGATGAGGCATAAAGCTGAACGTTTACCTTTAGGTTCCACATATAAACAGACTGTTTATGAACATAAAAGAAAATGTCTTGAGTATGAACAAAGTAAAGATTCAAGTTCTAAGGAGAACCTTGTCCAGGTAAGGTGGTACAAAATGAATTTGGTTTTAGCAAAAAAATTAATACAACCAAGTTTTAGTTATTTCTGGTGCTGCTGATAATCATGGAGTGCTAACTCAGATTTAGTCATGAAGATATGTATTAGTTTCTTATTTTATTCTCTTTAATTCTAGCTTCCTAAGGAAGGTATTCTAGCAGGTATCAAGGATCCATTATAGAGGAAATGTATGCAGAGAAACAGTTACCCATAAGTCCTGTGAAGAAAAGCACTGTAACAATCTCTTAGGCTCTTTTCTTAACCCCAGATACTATAAAATCTTCAGGGGTTAATAATCTGACTAGTTTAATTCTTTAACACTTTTTTTTTCATGCTCCTGTGTGCCAGGCACTTTATTAAAGTACTGTATAAAAGTTACACAGTCTCAGCACTAGGCATAGTGGTACATTGACTGTAATCCCAGTACTCTGAGAGGCTGAGGCAGGAGTATTACGAGTTGGTCTTCTACCTGGGTAATTTAATGACTTACCAAGACTCCGTCTTAAAATAAAATTAAAGAAAAAAAAAAATAAGGGATTGGGATTCAGTGAAGGCCTGGGTTCAATCTTCAATTTCTAAAATTTTGTAGTAAACAAATTTTAAATCTGATAAGTACTTATTACTTAATAATGGAATAAATAGCATGAGGTTAACATAGCTTTGGTGTCCTGGATTACTTGGGAAAGGTTTACTGGAGGGTAACAAGGAATGAGAAACTGAGAAATGAGTGAGGAGGAATTACTCAGGTGAAGATGAAGTTGAGTGGAATGTGGAAGAAGGATATTCAGGTTTTGAACTGATTTTATGACTTCACAACTTTATTTCTATAAACATAAAGAGTTTCTTCAATATAGAAGTTTGGAACATCAAAAATTCTGAAATGTAGAGACTTCTTTAAATGGATGGTTAAGCTTACTTGTGTTTAAGATGGCAATAGTGAGATTGTTCTTGTGTAAGATGGAGGAATTGTAACTAAAGAAGAGCTTCAGGTGGTATATTTTTGTTCAGATGAACTTGAAGAGGCCTACAGAGTGAAAGAATTGAGTTTGTTCTTTTTCTGGTTTCTTAAACCATCTCCACTTCGTGTGTTACATTCAGTTCTTTAGAGTAGAATGAAAAGAACTTGAAATTGTTAGTATGTTCATTTTTTCATTGTCCATACTATAAGAATTTTTTTTTTTTTCTTCACAGTACCGGGGATTGAACTCAAGACCCTGTGCTTGCCATGCAAGCACTTATTCGACTGAGCTCTCCCCAGGCCCCTATGAGAAGTTTTTGTAGCATATCTTTTTCTATTTCCCCTCCCTGGTATTGATATTTGAGACTAGGGAAGCTCTATTACTAAGCAATATTTGTAATTCACCCTCTCACCAGTCCTTTTTAAGTCAGAGTTTTGCTCCTACTACCCTCAGACTTGTGATCCTCCTGCTTCAGTTTCCCAGATAGTTGAGATTAAAGGCATATTGTACCACTACGTCTAGCTTCATTGTGTTTTTGAGATCTGTATAAAATTACACAAACCAAAAAGACGTGCATAGTATGACTATTAAGTGATAAGAGAAACAGTTCTTTCATGATTACTTTCTAGTTATCAGAATTAGAACTTTATAAACTGTTACTTTAAGAATAGCATTATCTTATTTTAGATCATGAGATTCTGGAGCATTGAGGTGTGGTTGCCCATGCCTATAATCTCCACACAAGAGTCTTGAGGCTAGAGGGTTTTGAGTTTGAGGGCAGCCTGGGCTATATAGTGAGATCCTGTCTCAAAATAAAAAATAAAAGGGCTGAGTTTATAGCTTAATGGTAGAATACTTGACCTGAGATGTGTGAAATCTTAGGTTTAATGTCTAGTGCATAGGGGCTGGGGAGATGGCTTAGTAGAACAAGTGCTTCCCTGGCAAATGCAAGGGTCTGAGTTCAATCCCCGCTTCCACCAAAAAACAAAGAAACAAACTAAAAAAGAACAAATAAGAAACACTGTGTGCCTAGACACAGGTGCAACAAGCAAATATTGTCCTCACAATGAGTATATTTAGGTAGTTTTGACAGGAAATAATCATCTTAATGGCATGTTTATTTTGTTCACTAATTCCTTGATGCTTAATTATTTTTCTAAAATAATGAGTGTGCTTTACAACCAAGTGTGTTTTTCCTGGATTTACTAATACTGTTACTATATAACCTTGTTAATGCTCTCTTTAAGAGAAAATAACTTGTTTCTTAGGCTTTATTGATATCCACCACTCTCAGTGGCAACCCTTTCAGTCCCAATCCAAATTAATGTTCTACAGATTCATAGTTTATCAGGTACTCTGTCCGTCTGTTTGTCTGTCTGTCTGTCTGTCTGTCTGTCTGTCTACCTACCTACCTACCTACCTACCCTGCCTATGTTCTACCACCTAGCCGTAATCCCATACATATAGGCTACTTTAAAAACATTTTGTTTAATCCTTACAAATCTGAAAGGATAGACCACATGGTAGCAAATAACCTGACTCCAAGTGTTAATAGTGTCAACATTGAAAACTTTATTCTAGGAACGTTTTTTGTTCTTAACTACTTTTAACTTCATTTTTACTTTTCATTTCAGTGTTTTGAAGCACCATATTCTTCAGTGTCACCTGAAAATATTCAAGATACTGATCAAGAGGTTATTGATAACTTATCTACTTTGAATATTTTTAGTGAAATTCAGATAGTTCCTCTTTTAACAAAATAGCTATAAAAACATTGCCATTATGAAAATAGCTATGATTCTTCACTTAATTCAATACATGATTTTTTAAATTTTATTTTATTTTTTTGTATTTTTAGAGAAGGGTCTACACGGTGTTCAGAGTCTCACTACTAGATTGGACTCAAAGCTGCCTGTTTACAGCCTCCTAAGAGCTGGGATTACTGGCACACACCACCACACCCAGTCTCTTATCACTGTCTCAGCATGCCCCAGGGGTGGGGCCAGCACAGCAGTACATGAATTTTTGAAGTATTTACTTTTTCCTGAGTACTTATTTTGCCTCTGTTTTTTACTTTGTGTTTTAGTAAGGGTCTACAGGGTCTTCACTACATAGATCAGACTCATAGTGATCTGCCTGTGTTCAGCCTCCCAAGAGCTGGGATTACAGGTGCACGCCACCATGCCCAGTCTCAATCACCACCTCAGCACGTGGGGGGTGGGGGTTGGGGGTGGTCGGCACTGTAGACTTGGCCTGGCAAGCCTGGCAGGCCAGGGTTCGTGTCTGCCTAAGCAAGCACTTTAATCTGCTGAGGTATTTGGCCGTTGCCCCTGTTTATAGTAAGATAATATGTTGTGAAACAAAATATGGAGCTCATGGCACACACATCTGATTTTTGACTTATTATTATGTTTTCTTTGCATGTGTATGCCTAGAGTTACCAGAATGCAATATGACGTTAACATGTTTTTGCTTCACTTTTCTACTATCATTTACTCCCCAATAAGATGAAGGTTTTTTTTTTTTTTTTGTGGTACCAGGGTTTGAACTCAGGACCTTGTACTTGCCAGGCAAGCACAAAATGAAGTTATTATTCATTGGAATTGAGGCCTCATGAGTGTTTTATCTTTTCACTTGTTTCATTTTTTAGTTAAAAATTTCCTCATTGGGCTGGGGTGATAGCTTGGTGGCATAAGTGCCTGCCTGGTAAGTGCAAGGTCCTGAGTTTAATCCCCAGTACCACATGCTGTGCAAGGCCTGGAAGGAGGCATGGCCTTGCACATCCATAATCCCAGTACTGGGGAGGCTCAGACAGGAGGATCACTACGTGTCTCAACTGAGTAGCCAGACCCTGTATTGAAAGAATAAAAAAAAAAAATCTCAGTGATCATCATAGCATTATTGGATGGAATTTTATGATCCTTAGTCTTAAATTGAAATTAGGTTCATCAAACACTTATTTTTCTTTTAAAATATATTTCACTAGCTTTTTATTTTTGATAATCATTTGTATTTTTCTGGTTGTAGGTCAGTACCCTTACTAGATTTTTCACATCTGCTCTACATTGTATTTTCATTTATTTATATCAGAATATATCAGTACCTGGATTTGCTTGTGTTGGGAAATGCTTTTTAAAGTACTTTGAAGTGGAATGGAAGGAATGGGAATGAGAATTAACTTACTTGTTGTCTATGTATAAGGCTATATAAATATTATTTCACTTAATCACAAAAATCCTGAGTAGATAATAATTCTTATTATAGATTAAATAAGAAAAATCCTGAGTAGATTAATAATTCTTATTTTGTAAATGAGCCACTGAGAACCAGAGTAGTTGGTTTTATTATTTAAGGCTACAGAATGAGAGCTGAACTGTGTGCATATTTTATGTCTATTATCTTTTTACCATGCTGCCTGAATATTTTATATACTTTTCTACTGATTATTTTAAGTGACTTAATCAAGAATTAATTGCTTTATTTTCTTATTAACTGAAGAGTAATTTACTCCAGATATTTCACTGAGGTCTTTCACGATTTAGATGCAGATAGTAGAAGAGCTTCATGCTGCACGTGTGGGAAAAAGTGTGGATTTACCTGTGGCCCCATCTTCTGGAGAGTTAATGAGTATGGAAATCGACCTGGCGGAAGATGATGTGCACCCTTCTGCTAGTATGCCTTATGTGTTAATGTTTATCACTTGCTCTTTTTGAAGAATTAATGTATTAACATCCATTTTTTACAGTATTTAGATAAAAACGATACAATTTGCTTATTTGAAATAATAAGGGTGTATTTCTTTTGGCTTCAGAAATCAGATCTAGTATTTGTCTTATGCTTTATGTATCTCACATTATTAGGAAGTTAAATTTTTTTTTGTCTTTTGTAAAGAGGCAGTAATTAAAGTTGTGAGTTACTTTTTATTCTTGCTCTTAAACAGCTTAACGTATCAGTTCTTTATTAAGAACTGATACAGAATTTAGACCAAAAAAAAAAAAGGTAGACCACTTGAAGGTTTTATATTCATAGCTTTCTTGCAGTGTAGGACAATTTTGGTTATTTTTATCTTTGGGAGAAGATAATGATAAGTATTATTCAAAAGTATTAGTACAGTATTTTGAATTCTGTTTATAAAAAATAGTAATGCTACTTTATATTTTACATTTTTCAGTTTATTCTTTTCCATTCATTGTTATCTGATTCTGATAAAAACCATATGAAATAGCAGTACTGGTATTATGTTTTCCTTCTGTTGCATATATTTAAAATTTCAATTATATTTCACTCAGAATATATATTAAAATTAGCTTATATATTGACTGAGTATACAATCTCAAGTGATGTAGAACCAGATTTAGAGACGTTATTACTGGGGCAAGTAAATTTATGATTTAGAAACCATCTGTGAACAATTTATGATATTCTATTGGTAAATAATCCAATGTTGATTACTGTTCTTTCCTTTAAGAATTGGAATGAAGGCAGTTTTGTTTTCCTTTTCTGATGCATTTTCTTCTCCTAAGAGTGCTGTCAAGGTGGGTGCAGTGGTGTACACCTCTAATCCCAGCACTCAGGATTGAGGCAGAAAGATTACTGAGTTTGAGGCAAGCCTGTGCTACATAGTGAATTCAAGACCAGCCAGAACTTCATAGTGAGACCCTTTCTCAAAAAAAGCCAAATAAATAAAAAGAAAAGAGCATTTTTCTGGGTAATTCATAGTTTTGTCCCCAAGTCTTCCTGTGGATTTCTGCCACATCAGATCTTACTTGCTATATGTACTTGAATGTAGATGAATCTTCCCCCAACCCCTCTCAAATAACTCACTCATTCTCCATCCTCACTTGTCTTCACCCAAACGGAGATGGTTCCTGCCCTAGATCCCCTGGATTATTGTGGGAAAATTTATTTGGTGAGAAAGTGATGAGCTAGATAGAGTCGATTCAACTGTGTGATTCTCTTGTTAAGTGAATAAGGTAGAGTGGTTTTAAATATTTCTATGTTCCTATGATAAAAATTTTAGTCATTATGCAACTCTGACATCAAATATCCTTTTTTTTTTTTTTTAGCAAATACTGTTTCAGACAAAAAGCTACTTCTAATTGTTGTTGACACAAATATCCTGATGAATCATCTCAAATTTGTTAGAATTTTGAAGACAACAGAAATATCAGGTATTTACAAAACATATTTGCAAATTCTGATTTTCTTTCTTGAGTTGATATTTTATTTTAACAGTGATGTGGGATTTTCCTCACAAAGTCTCAATTTGTATGCCATATGATATATATGTATAATCTCTCCCACATACAAAGCATAAGTGATTTAACTTAAAATTCTTTCATAGGTTAACCAACTTTTTGTAGGTCTAATATTTGCTCTTTTTTTGTTGTTTGTTTTTTTGAGACAGGGTTTCACTATGTAGTTTAGGGTGGCCTTAAATGCACTGTATAGCCCAGGCTGACATCAAACTCTTGCTGATCCTCCTGCCTCAGCCTCTTGAGTGCTGAGATTATAGGTATGCACCACCAAGTTCACTCTTTTGAACATTATTCATTATAATTTAAAATGATTCATTTGATTGTTGTGAACTTGTTTACATTAGAAACATTTATTGTAGAAATCATATCTGCTAATCTCTTTTGTTCTCTAGTAACATTTTTTTTTTATTTTTGGGATTAGGGAATGAACTCAGGATCTTGTACTTGCCAGGCATACATTTATGCTACTGAGCTATCTTCCTGGCCCTTTCTAGCAATTATTTTGGCATTCTTTTGCTTCATATCCTCTTCATACTTTCCATTTTAAAAAAATTTCAAGTTTTTCAGTGCATTGTTCCTCTATTTTTGGTGAACTTTTTAGAAGATCAGGATGTGTTTTAAATTCTTGCTTCTCACAGAAATTTGATTAAGTAGCTCAATAAATGTTACATTCTAATAAATTTTTTATTCTTTAGGTTTTGACAGACTTGTGTTAATAATTCCTTGGGTTGTTGTACAAGAGTTAGATCGAATGAAGGAAGGAAAATTACTAAAACATGCCCAGCACAAAGCTGTACCTGCAGTTCATTTCATCAATGATAGTCTCAAAAACCAAGATAGAAAGCTGTGGGGTCAATCAATACAACTTGCTTCTCAAAAACTTTGTAAGTATTCCTCATAAAGACTTGTTTGGTGCTAATTCATTATTTGAAATGGTGCAAAACTTTTAAGACTGTATCCATTGGAATGTGAAATGGAAAGGTCATTGTGATGGTATGTGACTTTTTGTTTTTTAAGGTTCTTAATATGTCAGTTTTATTTTTATTTATTCATTTTTAAATTTTTATTTATTTATGTGTGTGTGGGGGGGCAGCTCAGCCCACCAGGGGGCGGGGCTGGCTGGCATGTGGTGCTGGGGATTGAACCGTGGTCCCTGTGCTTTGCTAAGCTTGTTCTAAGTAGGTGCTTTAGACCACTGAGCCATCTCACCAGCCCCTATGTGACTTGTTTTGTGACTTGTTTTTTATTATTTTGCTTTTTGTGGAATTTCTTTCTTTTTTTTTTTTTTTTCCTCAGAGATATTGCATAGTTCTGTATTCATGCCTGTCTATATTACAGAACCTTGGGTTCTTTTTAAAAATATCATTGAGTAATGACATTAGTCAGTATCTAGGTTTCTATTCTATGACTGCATGTAGTGTATTATAGAGACAAATATTTTCCTATGGTTTGTCAGAATCTGAGCTAATTACATGCCTTTACAAGAAAGACCTAATTGTTCCCTAATTTTACTTTTTTACCATTAGGTTTTTTTGTTTGTTTGTTTGTTTTTTATTTTTTTGGTGGAACTGGGGATTGAACTCAGGCCCTTGTGCTTGTCAGGGAAGCGCTTATTCTACTGAGCCATCTCCCCGACCCCTTCCATTAGTTTTTTATTTGACTTCTAAAAATATATATATATATTTAGTACAGGGTCTACACTATCTCTCTACACAGATCAGAGTAATAGTGTTTCTCCTGTTTTCAGCCTCCCAAGCGCTGGGATTATAGCTGCACGCCATCATGCCCAGTCTCAATCACTATCTCAGTGCGGGTAGGGCTGGCATGGCATGCTGGGGATTAACCTTGGTCCTTGTGTGTGCCTAAGCAGGTGCTTTAATCCACTGGGCTATCTGGCTGGCCCTTAAAAATTTATTTCTTCCCAATTCAGCATTATTTGTATATATAGATTTATGTAATTTTATTTATATATTTTTTGTGGTACTGGGAATTGAACTCAGGACCTTGCACTTGCCCACCAGGCATTTATTTTACTGAGCTATCTCCCCGGCTCTAGCTTTATGTAGTTTTAACTATCATGGATTTGTACTGCCCATTGCTCCCATATCCACCAATAAGATTTGAAAAATTGATGGTGGTACCTCAGTTCATGAAAGTTTTTGTTTGAGAATAATTTGGTTTGTAAACAGAAGTGTTTGACAAGGTTTTTTTGTTTGTGTACTCTGCATCGGGTGACAAAACATAACTGTGGCTGTTTTCTTGTGTGGACATGAACTTGGCCATCTTTCCAGAATCCTCTAACAAATTAAGCTCATGCACTGAGGAATGACAATCTTACAATTAATCTAGGTGGACTCAATGATGTTTCTGTGTAAGCCAGCTACAATATTTAGGAGGCCAATGCAAGAATATTGCAAGTTTGAAATAGTCTGGGCAACTTAACCAGACCTTTTCTCAAAATATATTAGGTTGGTGATTAGTTTACTGTTAAAAGAGTGCTTGCCTAGAATATATATTAGGTCCTGGGGCAATTCCCATTACTGTCCCCCCAAACCAAAAATAATCTAATCATGTTATTATGCAAAGGCTTTTAACACATATAAACTTAACTTTCTGATAAAAGAGAACTCTCCTTTTCTTCCATTTGTTACATTAATAAATATTAATTAGTTGTTAGTGTATTCCAGATAGAATGCTTATGCATTTTCAATGCAGATAGTTCTACGGCTTGTATCTAAATTTCCTTAATTTCATGAGGTCGTAGGTTGGGAGTTTCAAAGGTGGCTGGTTTAGGCTATGTGATGCTGGGATTCACTGTGGCTCACCCTGGGTATGGGTGACACCACCCAAACAACTGGTAGTTTAGGTAGAATATAAAAGGACAGAAAGAAACTACTTTGATACTTTTGCTACTTGGTTGTCTTTTGCTAGCCCTGTTTTCATGGACTGTTTCTCCTCTGTGATGCACCTTTGCCATGCTACTCTGTTAGCTTCATAAACTGAAACTTGTGTGAACTGTGAGCTGAGATAAACCTTTTCTCCCTTAACTTTAGCTGTTGAGTATTTTGTTTCAGCAATGAGAAAATAGTAAGTGAATAGCTTTAGTTGAGTATGTTTCTAGTCCTATTCTTAACTATTTTCAGTTACATTTGTATGATATACTACTTATCTACTATAGTAGGCCTTGAAATCTTAATGATCTGAGTTTATAACCTGATTAGGGAAAAGTTAAGATGAAGAAACTGAACAGATGAAATGAGAGGGCATAAATTCCATGTTATAAGATGGTTGTGAAGATTGGTTACTATATTAGACTACGTCATAGCTTAATAGCAAATCTTCTTGTGTCCTTGTGTGAAAAGCTTGTATTAAGCTTTGAGTAAAAGCTTAATATAAGAAACATTAATTTGTCACTTTTTGTGTGTGGTTTCTTTTTATTGCTTTTATGTTAGCAAATTATCTTTCCCAATACCTAAAAACACTCATAATACTGTACTGTTTTGAGGATATGAATTGCTTAGGGAGAAAAATTTAACAGCATGCTGTAGGAAGCCTAAATATATAATTCTCTTTCTAAAGATAAATCCTTAAAAAATGAGAAATGCTCATAGTACTTATATAAGTAATATTCATTATAGCATTACTGGGGCCAGAGAGATAGCTCAGTAGCATAAGCACTTCCCTGGCAAGCACAAGGGCCTGAGTTCAATCCCTGGTTCCACAAAAAAAAAAAAAAAAAAAAAAAGAAGAAGTGGAGAACTTATATACATTGCCATGATCATATGACAGAACATAGTATTTTGAAAAACATTAATGATTTGTAGATTTAAATAGAACAAAAGGATTTAGTCAACTATAGGGACATATATTTGTAATCCCCCACTACACTAGGAGACTGAGGCAAAAAAATTATAAGTTCTAGCCCAGTGTGGACTGTATAACATATTAGTGAAACCCTAAATCAGAATTTTAAAAAAAGGGCTAGAGAAATAAGGGCTCAGTAAGATGGCCTTGTTCAGTTCCCAATACCACAGACACACACAAAACAGAAGGAAGGGCCACCAGCAGCTCAGTGACAATGCCCTGGGCTCAATCCCAGTAATGGGCAAAAGAAACCCAAAATAAAAAAAAAACAAAACACCCAAAAGCAAAAGTAAGATCTCAGGTTTAATTTTGAATATGTAATTGTAAATGATGTTGTTTAGCTGATGGGGTTATGAGTTATTTAAATTTCTGATTTTCCCAGATTTTTATATGGTTGTTTATTTTTGGTACCAGGTGTCAAACTTGGGGCCTTGCCAGGCAGATGCTTATGCCACTGAGTTATCTCCCTGGCAATTATTTTTTATATTAAGATAAAAATAAGGTCAAAAAAAGTTACCTGCCACATCTGTCAGATAAATTTCTTATTTTTGTATTCCTTATGTAGGTTAAAAAAATTTAAAAAAATTTGTTGCATATTTGTTTAAGACAGTACATGTTGAGTCTAAATTAATTTCTGTTAGATTATTAAAATATTAAGTAGATTTTTGTATTGTACATGAATAGAGGTTATTGTATTTGAAGTGTCATTTAAGGTTAAGCAATAAATATACAATGCTTTTCAAGCTCTTATATTGCCATAGTACTTCTTTAATCTTTTGGGTTAAGTACTCTGCCCAAGGGTAAACATCTAGGAAATGAGAAAGCAAAACTTTTAAACCAGACTGGTCTGTTTCTGGATACTGTTTTCTTCACTTTTGAAATGTACCTGAATACGTACTTACAAATATTTATTGACTGTTTTATGTATATTCTACAATTTTGTATATCTTAGAAAAAGTGATAATGTAGATAATCATGTTACCTTAGAGCAATGCATGATTAGCTTTAAAGCTCTTTTTGTTTGTTAAATTGAATTGTTTAAAGTTTATAAATGATTTAAAGTTGCCTATTTTGCATGGTATTTACTCTTGGAGCTAAAAGAAGGAAATTTGGCTGCTGTGATATATTTCTGTGTGGCTCACTGGTCATCTGATTAAGGAACTAAGAATCACAACTCCCTCAGGCTCGTGGTCTATGATAGTTATGCTCTGTCTGGATTTCATTACTAGATTGTGAACTGCTAAAGAGTTTATTTATCTTTTTATGTCTAGCTGCTTAGTGCAGGGACCTTGCAAAATTTAGCTGTATATAAATATTTATTGCAGAATAGATGAGTTTTTCAACTTGAATAATTATAAGATTAAATAAGATATGCTAAAAAAATGAGAGAAAAGAATTTATAAGCTGGGACAAGATTGAGGCTTATTGGTTAATATATTTTGAATTTTAGTGTGCAAGAGACTTAAGACTTTGAACTGTGATCTGGGGAAGTAACGTCAAACTTTTTGGAACTGAGAACTCAAACTGCAACCCAAATCCACTTATTTATCACAAAGTGCCAACATGTTAATTAAACCCGATTACTGAAATTTTAGTTTAGAAAAATTTATATGATCCTTGGATGCTGTGATGAGTTAGATTGCGTGCTGACAGAATGGGTTTGCGTCTCTGCCGTGGCATGTGTGCCATAGGTTCACCGCCAGTAGTCTAGGGCTAGGCTCCAAAGAGTTTTATCCAGAAATAGATCAGGGTTATGATCCTATAATCTGTATCATTAACTAGTTTCCTAAGGAGTTCTTAGGTAGGAATGTAAGGATCCATGAGAAATACTCTTTGGTCCACTTTTTACATATTGTGTTATTTGCACAAAAATTGAAAAGATGAATTTTTATTATATGTTATAAAACTTGGAGAATGCCAGAGGATATCTTGTCAGCAACTGATTAATATTTGTTAGAAATTCCTCATTGTGTTCTCTTAGTAGAGCTCGTGTTTTCCTTCCCTGTACCTCTCTACATGTATTGCTACAGCAGTGAAGGAAAGCCAGCCATATGAAACTGGTTGTAGAACAGTTGTCCGTTACAGACCTCTTAAACTGAGATAATTCTAAACATGATGTAATTATATAATTTACTTACAACTTTTGAGTGACTGAATGGAGACTAGAATTCATAATTTTTCGATTCTAGATAGATTTACCCAACTGATTGCATTTTCTTTGTTTTGAGATTGCAGATAATTTTATCCTATTTTAGTGGTAAAGTAACCACTTTTTGAATATACAATTAGATCTAGTGAATACTATGTCTATAGTTGCTAAGACATCATTTTGCTGTATTTTCTATTTAAAAAGTCTTTAAAAATACATTTTTCTAAGTAGACTTTAATTTTTAGAGCAATTTTGGATTCACACAAAATTAAACAGAAAGTACAGATGTTTCTCGTATACTTCCTATTGCCAAACATGCATAGCCCCCTCATAATCAACTTCTCCCATCAGAATAGTACATTTATTATAATTAGTGAACCTACACTGACCATCATTAACACTCAGAATTTGTAGTTTATATTAGGATTCCTTTTTGTATAGATTTTGAGAAATGTGTAATACGTATTTAGCATTATGGTATCATAGAGAATGGTTTCACAGTCTTGAAACTTTTATGGTATTTTTGGTTTGCAAATACCAGAAG